CATAGAAACATCTTATTTCTATGGTTTTAAGTGCATATAAATCCGGTCTCTACTTATAAGTGATAATTATTATATTATATATACAGATTTGGTGAATTTCTTAGTTCAAATAAAATGTATAATAATTATGAATACTATTGCATTTGTCAATAATATTCAAAAAAGGCTCTCTTCCTGTTTAATTATCATCTTTAGAAGTGTTTGTACAATGTACATGTCGATAAAAATGTTTAATGTGAAAAATAAGGTAAATCTGACGATTCTATCTCCGGCTCTTCCCTAATGTTTTTATATGTATAAAAATATTTGGTAGAGGGGGTGGGGGCGCTAGAAATGATTCTTGGCACTGGGCGCTGATTATGCTAGGCACGACACTGACTATTATTAATTATAAGGACGTCAACATAATTATATGTATATCTTATAAAGAAAACTAACTTAACTATTGTAGTGAGCCCTTCTAGGATCATCAAGAAACTTAATGGAATAATCAACACTTGATGTTTTTGAGTAATATTTTATTTATTATAAGTCCAATATTTAATAATATGGAAAAAATGACTAAGTTCAATTAATTTATTAATGGCAATAACGATATGTGATTTCTAGTGTATTTAGCTTCCAGTTGCTAGTTGTTGGTAAGTTCGTCTGACTATCGTATCACTGAAGAGCTCCTCTCATAGAGAATCCCTAGTCCCTACTCCAGTAATCATATCCATGTTACGCAAATCCCATGGTCATACATGGCGCGCGTGACTCAACCGGATGTCCCTTACACAATTATTTATAGTGTGATATCCGTTTACATAAAACACACAATTCCTGTGTGACCTACTTTAAGGAATATTCAAATGAGTAGTGATTTATATAATGTCATATGTATTATTATTATTATTATTATTATTGGCACTACGCTGTTGCTCTCCAGCACTATTATTATGATATTACTACCAGGGACTCATAAGTAAATATAGATAAAGTCACAGCTCGTTACACTATAGAAGTGTTAAAATATAGATAGTTGGAATTTAAAACAGCCAATCCTATAAAAATTCCTAATCATTATTAATTTTGCTCAAGTGACAAGACAAACTAAAAATTTGTCATTCATCAATAATTTTAAGATTGGAAATTTAATTTGATTATTATTCATTAGATAACTATTAACTTTAAAAAATGTAATAAATCAATTTGTTTAATTACTTTGAAATATTTACCTGGGAATTCAGCATTAACAAATGCATCCAGAAGTTTAGATCGTAATTTAATTAAATACTGTTCATACTTTGAACATTCAGCATTGAGTTGTTCATTGTGAGCCAYTAATCTTGTACTAAAATTTTCAATATTTTCAATATGTTTTTCTAAAACACATACTTCTTGTTTTTGATCTGTTACCTTTTTACGAAAGTTCCTTAGTTCAACATCTCTAGCTATATATAATATATATATATATAAATAATAATAATTATTATAATTACATAAAAATAAAATAAATACCAACCTTTATTGAAGTTTAAGAATTCTTCAGTAAATATAGTTATGTCATGAACTTTATTATTATCACTAGATATAGATAGGTTTCCCTTTTTAAACTCTTGATCCTAAATAGAATAAATACATATATAATTAATAATTAATACCAATCAATTTGCTATTCTACAAAATTCAAGGCCTGTAATATATATTTTTCATGCAGTTATCTTTATCCAAAATTCCAATACAACAAAAAATACAAAATAGAATTCTTTTTTTAGTTTGATATCATTGGATGGTTAGTTAGGATCCAGAATTTAGGGAGTCTTTTTGCCTTTCTAGAATACTGTTATCTTTGTCAGTAACAAAAAAACTTGTGTTTAAAAAAAAAAAAACAGATAATAATAATCAATAAAATTAATATCTTCTTCATTATTTTATGAGTACTATTTGAATCAGTGTTTGCATATTGTGTATATATATATATATATAATACATATGTTACGGGCAAAGTGGAAAATAATTCGGACAATGTATACAATGTTCGAGGTATATGGGGAATAGGTACATGAGGTATAGGACAATGTAAATTGTTAATTATTTATACAAAATAATCTGCATAATATATTATGTTTAATCATCAAATGATAAATTAGCTAAAATTATACATTTAAAATATTGTGAAGTATATTTATTCTAACAATTACCAAAATAATGAATAATCATTATAAATTTATAAATGCTACGTCTATTCTATGATTAAACACACTATATAATCAATTATCATCATATATATCATAATTAATTAATTTTTATATTATTATTATTTTTATTTATACTAATTTATTTCAAATAATTTTAATATTTTTTTTACTAACTATACTATTTATTACTCCATAATATATTATTTTTTTATTGCAAATTATTAATATTGCATAATATAATATATTAATATTATGTTTTATCAAATAATTTTTATATACAATTTTTTTTCTTATAAATTATAAATAGTTATATGCTATGTCTATCCTTTGGTTAAATACTAATGACATTTTGTGAATGCACTATATATCCCGATAGTGCTTAAACAAACATTTATTTATTTTCTACATTTTATTTAAAATGGAAAAATTTAATGCGAAATT